AACGTATCTTAGGTAGATTGATGGTTTTTTAAAATCTGTAAATAACTTATTTTCGGGGTTCGACATATAGAAATTGCTAAATGTCGGGCCCAGTACTGAACCCATGGAGACACCATCACATTGTATATATATATTGTTATTATGATCGAAGAAAGGGACTTCAGTATTACAAGTTAATAGTAGTTTTCTTAATATATTAGGATTAATTTTAAGTGGGGGTAAAGATGAGTTACTGTATATATTTCTTATGATTATGTCAATAGTTTCACTAATAGGGACATTGGTAAGTAAGTTTTCAACATCAAGTGAAGCCATGATTTTATTGTCAGGTTTTTCACTTTTTAGGATTTGGATTACTTCTAATGTTGACTTAACACTATATTTACTAGGAAGATAGGGAGTGTGCCGTCATCCCCCGGTCGCCGCGTCGACTGTGTTGTTCGATCCCGGTCGCGGCGCCAATTGTGATGTCACGTGCTCCCCAGGCTCTGATATCACGGACAGCACCAACTGTGACGTCTTTGCCGCTGCCAGCTGTTCGCTCCTCGCTGTCCAAACGTGACGTTCTAACCCTTTGGTTAGATTGATACCAGCCCGCTTCCAGGGTAACTGCACTGATCTCCAGTCTGCCTACCCACGTTGTGAATTGATCTTAGACAGACGAGATCAAACAGGGTTGTGGCAGAATGCAAGTTGAGTCTAACGGGGTGATAACACAAACTATGTATAAAAAAAAAATAAAATAAAATAAAAACACAAGGTCCAACGATCAAAGAAAAGGTAACAAACTTTTTATGTCTATTTGCTCGGTACATAGGACTATGTCTACTTCCCAACCCGTTCTGTGGATTGTGGCACGATGCTTTTACTAGGCAACTTTAAGGCTTCAAGTTGTCTGCTCCCTAAGAAATTTGTGTTTGGTGTGTCTTTGGACGAAAGTCGAAAAAACTTATTTCTGTGGTCTGATTCTAAGTCGCTCTTCAAACTACTTGTTCTTGGTTGAAGAAGAGTCCAGAAGTGTGCGTGAATCTTGGTCAGCTATCTTGACGCGGTTTCAACACTGGGCGCTCATCTCTGCTTGTCGTCTACAGCTCAAAACTCTTCGCCGCCTGCTGCTCAAACTCTAACTGATTTCTGTCGGTTGGGGTCCTGGTCGGGTATCTTTCCTCCTCCTTCGTGTGTCATGTGATCTTATTTAGCCAATGACGTCTTTAGTCGGGTGTGGACAATCCGTGGCTTTGTTTTGGGGAAAGAAACACCTTGCTTAAAAAAACAAAATATTAATTTAAATCGCCCTTATCATGAGCGATCAAGTATAACACCTTCGGGCTTTTTAACACGGTATTTGTCAAGCAGTTTATCGCTAATTGGATATGACCTAAGAAAGGGATTTCTCAGACCTGTTGGCGTTTTTTGAATGAAATAAAAAATATTTCATTTCCTCGGTCAAGGTCCTGATAATAAAAATCTTTATTATCTCAAAAAATTTTCAAGAACATCATCTTGTGTGGCTTTTTTTCCAATTCTGGAGATTGTCTGGGTTTTGTATTAATGGTTTGCCTCCATATCCTTAGATACACTTCCCCACCCACTTAGACTTTACTATCATTCCCAATGACACACTTTCCACTTGTTACTTATCAATATTTTCATTGTCCCTAAACTTCGTTTCTTCAACCAATTGATAACAACTTCCATTTTCCCCAGATCTCAGTTAGATACCTTGGCCTGGATATTTTTTCCTCCACCTTGTTATCTGTCAGCCGAGCGTGTGTGCTCGCCTATGACCTGTTTTCGTATTATTTTTCTTTCTTTCTTCTTCGTTTTCTTTTCCTTCTTCCAGATCGCTTGAATGTAAAGAAAGAATTATTCTTAAAACCCGAAATATTTTTTCGCCCTAAATAATTATTAAATGGTTGATAAACCGTAAAAAAAAAAAAACCAAATCATATATCTATGAATATTTCTTTTCAGCTCGTCAGGTATGCATGGTGCCACAGAGTAATAAGTTGGTTGATGTATTTTGTTAGATGATATACAGGAGTTGGAATTTGCGATATGATAGGATGGAAAGGATAGTTAGTTTTATGTGTTTTTATAGTGCCATATATGTAGCCAGGTCTATAATCACCAACAATTTTAGGGAGTTTTAAAGAGTTCTGTTCAGCATTATTAGAATTAATAAGTTTATTAAGCTTTGATTTTAGTTGGTTGGTCAGGTTCTTGTTAAGTTTTTTAAACTTTACGTGATCATGGACTATGTGGTCTAGTTTTTTTGTTGTAATCCAATTTGTTTAGGATGACAAAAATGTTGGTCTTATTAGCTTTTTTTACAATAATGTCAGGGTGGTTGCGTAGTTCTTGTGCGGCAATTTTCAGTTGTTTAGAAAGTATTTTTGAGGAGTTTCTGCTTTTATCATGCCGATCCTTCAATGCCTCGGCCTTAAGTAGGTCTTTAAATTCTGGTAGTTTCTATTAGTTGTTCATCCTGGAGTTTTACTATGTTTTGGTATAGGGTCTCAATTTCTATTTTTTTAAAAAGTCGATTGTACTTACGGTATATATGGCAGTTAGGTCCAAGGTTAAGTAATTCTTTTTGGTGCTTAGTTAGTTCATAGTTGGAAAGGTTAATGTATTTATCAGTTTTGTTAGGAAGAGTGATATTACCTTTTTTATAATGTATTCAGTTTTTTTATAATTTTAAATCGGTGTTGAGCTCCAGATTTATTGGTAATTTCCATGAGTCTATGTGTAATTTCCTCCAGTTGGTCCGGGGTAGTTATATCCTGTAGTTTATCGTAAATGTCCTGTTTTTTGCTGTTAAGGTTGTTTAATTTTTCCTTGGATATTTCAATTTGCCTTTTCACAAGGCTAAATTTGTAATTCCAAGTATTGATAGAATTGTGGGCTGCTGGATCATGTAATGTAAATTGTGTGTATATATTGTCTATATTATTTAATGAAACGTGTGTGTATATATATATAATGTGTGGACATTATTAGAGGCAGTGATATGTATGTTTTATGTTGTAGTTTTGTTGAAGTTATATTTTGGATTAAAATTTTGAATTAAGAAATTGTAGGATATATGGATAAATGTTATGAAAGTTCTTTCATGTTGGTTCTTTGGTTGAATATCAATCTCCATGGATTATTTAATGCCGAAATCTAAATATTTTGAACACATTTTTATGGCTTCAACTAAATATATTTTGAATGCAATTATATGCCTTCAACTATAGATAAAATGTATTATGAAATGAACAAAGTCCGACAATTATTTTAATTCTGTCATTCAGAACATACATTTCATAATGTGTGACGTCATTTGTTTACATTTGGATAAGCACTGAGCAGATATGAATGTACCTGAGAGAATCATTGAAGGTTGTAGTTTAAAAGCAGTAAAATCAACCTTGCTAACTGAACAATCCTCTGTGGCCCAATCAGTTAAGGCACGTCAGGCTATATGATGGTTCTGTATAGGATACAGGTCGATTCCTGTTGTTAGTATTTCTATTATAAAGTGTATTACTGGTCATTTTGTTTTAAAAATGTATTGTTGGTCATTTTACTATAAAAGTGTATCTTTATACTTTCATAGTGCTTTGTCTTTGCTTGGAGGGTTCACTGTTTGCTCATCGCTGGGACCCTAACAGTTGTTTCCACCACAGGTCAGGATGGACTTGAGAACAACAGCAATTAAGAGGTGTTTCCATACTTCTCAAAATCTCCAATCTTCTGATTAGACATCTTGCTGCTAGATGTAGTTTATCATCATACCCAGGACTATTCTATTATCATTTATTCTTGGTAGGAACTAATCTTCAGACTAAGTCTGCCTTCTCCACAACATTCCTCAGGCAAACTAACTACTTATTTTCAAACAAATCATGTGGATATCCCCCATCAAAACCCTACATAACAGCCAAACATAAAAATATGTTTTATTCCTTTTTATAATTTTCTCTTTCTCTTGTTTTGGGAGCTATGTTTTTCTTTCATGTCTCGCACCTCTCGCCTGTGGAACTCTCTTCCCTTCTCCTGTTTCCCTGTGAGTTATAATCTCCAGCTATTCAAGTGTAATGTCAATCTACATCTCCAGTTGCCCTAATCTATCTACTACCCTGATCCTATCTTCTATCACTCCTATCTGATCTTCCTATCTTCTGTAACCCCTTGCGTCCTAGTGGCTTCCCGCCTTGCTTGGGGTTGAATTAATTTCTTTTGAAAGATAATTTAATTATTCTGGATATTTCTAACCTCCGTCATAACAATTGGTAACACAAGCCCATGACAAAACTGAGAAGACAAGAGAAAACTACTCCACTATCTTTCTCAAGAATGCATAACATTTCACAGATAATAAAGAAAATTAATCTATGGGAATGATTTTGGCAATCATAATGATTGCCTAAATCCTGAACACTAAATCAAGGGACATTTTTTTTCTACTGTTCACCCAATACAATCCCTAAGCAGCACTCAAGATAGAGAGTTGTTACATGCGGATGCTGTAAGGGCATACAGGGAGGGAGTAGGTGTTGCTTATTATGAGGATATGTAGGATAGATAAGTTGACTCTTGACTTAAAGAGGTTAGAATTGTAGGGATCATGGAAGATTTAAACACAACAATCTACAGAAAATATAGGGAATTTGCTTATCCAGGAGGAGAATAATTTGTGAACCTACATCATATTTCTACTTACTATAACCCTCACAAACCCCCATCTCTTCTGCCCACCTCCACCCTATAGCAGCCACAACAAAAATGGTCAGAATTGAGGAACTGCAGAATTTTGGGTTGGACACTTGCTCCCTTCCTTTCAGGCCATCTTTCATTTTGTAGACATCTTGGAATTGATTCAATTGCTTCCCAAAATCTGTAAAAGCAAATGTAAAGCAAATTGCTAATATCTGCAACAGCCCATGACCCTGAAGGAAAATATTCTATATGTATCCACCTGCAGTTTTGTTACTGGAAGCCCCTAAATAAATTCACCCATCTTGGAAGAGATTGTTATTAAGGGCAGCTTCATTAACCCAGTTATCTCCATGAGACCAGAATATCCTTTTTCTAGCATTTGCATCCAGAATAAATTGACTGTAATCAAAATGGAGGTAGACAAAGCACAGTAGAGAGAGAGAGAGAGAGAGAGAATACTTAATTATAAGTGAGAAAAGGAAGAAATAATGTAATGAGGAGAGTGAGAAAAAAAAGAAAAGAAATGTTAAAAAAATCAGAATGAAAAAATCCAAAAGAAACAGGAAAAAAGAAGGGGATAAAATAAAGTAAAAGTGAAGACAGAGAAATAGAGAGAAAGAAAAAATAAGAAAAATGGTGAGAGTGGAGTAGGTGAGAAAGAAGGAAAAATTATGAATCTTGTTTAGTAATGAGAAAGAGATAGGGTGGTTTAAGTTGAGAGAAAAAAATAATGAAAAGAAAAAGAATAAAGAAAACAAAAAGATGAACAATACAATAAAGATAATAATAAAAAAAATTGAAAAGTGAAAATATATAAAAAAATTCAAACAAAGTTTGTAAATGACGAGAGTCAGATGGGAGAAAAAAGATGAAATGCATAGAAGTTGTCATGAAGAAAAAAACTGTGATCTTGAAGCTGTAAAAGGGCAGGCTTTAATACAAAATATGCATGATTATTCACAGGTGGGAATATATATAAATATATGTAAATTATTTTCTGATAGAGTGTATCTGTAATAGAACAAAATGAATGAAATGACAAGAGGAAAAACTATTCTTAGCCAACACGTTTTGTCTTCTGAGGGACTTTATCAAGGATTAATTTTGTTGCATGTATTTATATACAAGAGCAAGGATGTCATTGGTTTATCAAGGCCTTTTGTTTGTGTTTGTGGAGAGCACTTCCTGCATTGTATGCCTTGTGAAAAAGTGTAGCATCTTTTTCTTCCAATTCCTGTGCTGAGGATTTTAAGTATTTGTGGGCATAAAGAGCAAAAACATGGGGTGAAGTTTTGATGAGTTTGTGTGAGGACTGGGGAATAACTTTTTCTTCAATGCAGTTTTTGAGAAAGTTTTGTCTGTTCTGTGAAAATGAGCAAATATTAATAAGTGCCTTGATAAAGTGCCTCAGAGGATAAAATATGTCAGCTAAGAATAGTTTTTCCTTGTCATTTATATATATATATATATATATATATATATATAATGAGGCACGGTGGAGTAATGGATAAGCAGCTTGGATTGAGGGATCAGAGAGCCGAGTTTGAATTCCATTTGGATCCATTACATTCACTTACATGCTAATAACCTTGGAAAAGGTATGAATCCTCTTCTTCTCCCTCCAGCTATAGGTAAATAGCAGGACAGACTGGGTTCTATAGCCTGGGATGTCAACTGGTCTAGAAGGACAATTCTGAATTCAAAACCTACAGAGGGTTGTTTGAGGATGCTGTGGCATGTAGTGCACCAGGTCTCTGACATTTCAAAAAGTGTGGATGATTCTGCACAAAACCTTCACCACTATAATCAAATCTCATTTGCTTGTGGTGCACTGACGGTTCCTAGGAACTGATCTGCTTAACACTTATACATCGAATTCAACAGGAGAGTCGAGTATATATATATATATATATATATATATAAATTGGCTTTGTTCAACAAGATTGCTAGGTACTCTTGTTTAGGTCTCTATATCTTCTTTTGAACAAAAATATGATATGTATCACCAACTGCAAGAAGGGTTTGGAAGTGATGGAAGCTCTTATAAAAAACAAGAAACTAACACTTAAAAATATCAATTAAGAACATGTACACAATATACTGATTCTTCTTCTGTCTTGACACATCAGAACATTGGCGATCATGTCTCTCCACAATTTCCTGTCCTTTGGAGCTCTTAAGTAATTTTGCTGCTTTGTTATCTCTCTTAAACCTTGTTCCACCATCCATTTACTCAAACTCAATAGGTAGGTTGTGTTTTTTTTTTTTTGTTTTTTTTTGTTTTTGTTTTTTAAGCATTACGCCCCAAGCAAGGCGAGAAGCCACTAGGATGCAGGAGGTTGCAGAAGATTTGGAGCAAGAGCAGATAGGAGTGATAGAAGAAAGGATGAGGAGAGGGATAGTGGGTAGATCAAGGTAACTGGAGGTGTCAATTGACATTACATTTGAATAGTTGGAGATTATAGCTCTCAGGGAAACAGTAATTGGGAAGGGTGTTCCACAGGTGAGAGGTGTGAGACATGAAGCTTTTGGAGTAGAAGAGACGGCTATATTTAAAAGATTCTACAGTGTAAGGGTGGGAGCAGGATGCCAGCCTCATGGGGGCTTGAATTCATGGAGTCTGGGAACCAGTGAAAGCAGCTTATCGGAGCAATTACCATGAAAGTATTTGTAGAAAAGACAGAGAGAGGCGACGGCGTGTCTGTGAGAGAGTGACTATAGACGAGACGCCGGATCAGAGCCAGTTATATTACATATCCGTCACTGGATCTTGTCAAAAACTCCGAGGTAAACAGAAGGTGCCCCAGACCATATATGGCAGCAATACTCCATGCAAGGGCGAATGGTTGATTTGTATATTTGAAGTATCGATTCTGGGGAGAAAAATTTCCTGACGCGGCACAGAGAGCCAACTTTCCTCGTGGTGGAAGAACCAATTGACTCAATGTATTTGTTCCATCTCAGGTCAGCAGTCAACATGAGACCGAGCAGACGCAGGGAGTTGCTCTCAAGAAGTTGACTATCAGACATTCTAATGGGGGGGCAGGGAAGGATCTCTATGGTGAGAGAGTAGTTTAGTTTTTGAAGCATTAAAGTTGACCAGCCAATTCTTGCCCCACTTGCCTTCAATAAGTCCATTGAGTATCAAATTTTCCAATCCTTCTTTCCTCAATTATGTGCCCCAGAAATTTCAACTGTGTCTTCCTGATATTAAGTATTTCCCTTTTGTTCCCATTTTCCTGAAAACTTCCTTATTCCTCACATGTTCAATCCATGGTATTCTTACCATCCTACTATAGAACCACATTTCTGTTGCTTCAAGTTTCTTCTTCATCTGTGAGAAGATTGCCCAGCATTCCCTACCATACCTTGTATAATTAAACATATATATCTACATTCAACAACTTTTATACTGTATACAATAACACTTACACTTTATTTATTATAATAGTACAACAAAAATCCTTGATAATGGCAAATAGTTTAGCGAAAAGCATGTGGAATCTACAAACTTTTAGATAATCTTTACTCATGAATCCAGAAAAGAGATCATTTGTACAAGAAATATATAATAAAAAATAAAGCAAAAGTACCTTGTCAGTCTTGTTTAATGAAACATTATTGAAGAGAGATTGCAACCCAAATGCACAAATATATATATGTATATACAGGGGTTGGACAAAATAATTGGAACACTTGTTAAATTCAAAGAAAATTTATTTAATATGGAGATGATTCTCCTTTAGCCTCACAGACAGCTTTAACATGTCTAGGAATTAAATCATACAACTTCCTGACTTCATCCAGAGGAATTATCAGTGATTCTTCAATTAAAACCTTCTCCATCTCTTTACAACACGACGGTGGAGGATAACGGCTCCTAACTTGTTTCTTCAAAATGCACAACAAATATTCAATAATATTGATATCTTGAGATTGGGGAGGCCACTCCATGTGTTCTAGCTCACTTTCATGCTCTTCATATCAATTCTTAACCACCCAAGCGGTATGTATTGGAGCATTACCATCTTGGAAGATGCAGTCACCATTGGGGAATAAAGTCTTGGCCATTGGATGAACATGATCTCCCAAAATGTTCAGGTAATCTTTGCTGTTGATTCTACCATGCAGGGCAACTATTGGACTGAGACATTTCCATGATATGTCGGCCTAAACTATCACTGATCCACCTCCATGCTTCACTGTTGGGAGAAGGCAGTCAGGGTTGTAAGCTTCTTTGGGCTGCCTCCACACATAAACTCGTCCTGAAGTTGGGAAAAGAGAAAAACTGGACTTGTTTGAAAATATAACTTGCTTTCATTGGTCTGCAGACCAGGCATTGTGATCTCTGCACCACTTCAACCTCTTATGAATGTTGCGAGTGGAGAGAAGAGGTTTCCTCACAGCGACTCTTCCATGATATGCAGCCTTATGGAGCTCATGGTGAACAGTTTTAGTAGAAAATGGTTATTCAACTCAGCAGTCACTTTGGCTGCATTTGTCTGATGATTTTTTTCCACATTGCATTTCAATGAAGGTCAGTCCCTGTCAGTAAGTTTGCAAGTCCGGCCCAAATTGCTACGGTTGCTAGAGATCTTGCCCTGTTTCTCGAATTACATCAGTGTTCTTGATATGGTAGCTCTTGAAAAAACCAAACAGTTCAGCAACCTTAGTGATTGAGGCTCCTGCCATGCGAGCTCCAACAATTTGCTCTTTTTTGAACATGGAGAGGTCACGCATTTAGCTTAAATTTTACTAAATTCTAAAAATAAATAAGACAAAGATAATAAATTAGATAAATAAATGTATTTACAATAGATATAACCTGCAATTATGAAGTTTTAGTTAAAGTTCTTAATATAATAGGTCTTTGAAATATAGGAGTGGATTTTGCAACTGCTCCAATTATTTTGTCCAATGCCTATATATATATATATATATATATATATATATATATATATATATATAAATGTGTGTGTGTGTGTGTGTGTGTGTGTTTATGTATGGAGGCATGGTGGAATAATGGATTGCAGCTTGAATCCAGGAATCAGAGAGCTGATTTTTGAATTCCAGTTCATTACTTACATGCTAATAACCTTGGGAAAGGTATGAATCCATCTCTTCTCCCCCAGCTATGGGTAAATAGTTGGACAGACAGTTCTTGAAGAGGGGTTGGTTCTGTCAGGCTACCTTGCCCAAGACATATCACATCTACTGCAGCTGCAGTATATGTGATGCCCCTATGTCTCTAATGAGCTATGGGACCTGTGATCATTATATATATATATATATATATATATATATATATATATATATATACACACACACACACACACACACACAGAGAATGTTTCAAAAATACTTTTACAAATTTTGGGGGCAGATTCATGACACCAAAACAAGGACAAATGTTGATATAACATATGTCCAAAAGCCCATTATTTTACGTCAACGCAGCAACTCATAATAAATGTTCAAAATATCCTCCGCTTGCTTCTACAGACGCAAGCACCTGTTGAATCATTGACTGGCAGACCCTTGCAAATACTTTCACACAGTGTTGAATAGTTTCCTGCTGCATAAACCAATTGTTTTAGGTGACCCCACAGATAAAAATTCAAAGGGTTGAGGTCGGTGCAATGTGTAGGCCATGGAACCGATCCACCCCTACCTATCC